TGCGGACGGAACCCGTCTTGACCGGTGTGGGCGAAGAAGCATACAATGTTTTGCAGATCGCGATGCGCGCACGACTTAGCCAGGCATCGGGCGATTAATGCAGGGTAGACTTACTCAGGTTCACCAAATAAGATGAGTTCAAACCGCAACATGTCGTCATGTTCAAATCTCCCATGCCAGTGCTCTCAGAAGCGAGCCGTAGCATATTACCAGGGGGGGACCTGAAAATTTCCTTCTCGAAGCCCGAGAAAGGCTTCCACCGCCTAGTGCACTTCCTATCTGAGATTGCTATGTCCTAGGCAGGTCGACCATCCAAGTTTGTTCGCTTCGGGGTGAGAGCTTGGAGGCTGTGAGTGCAGGGCCAAGGGCGCGGTGCTAGCGAGTCAGGCGCAACAAAGCGTGTGGCACGCGCCTCAGAAGTCCCTCGCAAGTGTTCCAGCAAAGCAAATAGTGCATCATGTAATCCGAGAGAGCCGCCCTGGGAGCTGCTCGTCCTGCTCGCCATGCATCGAGCGAGCGGACAGACGAGGTAATCTTGTACAAGGTGTATTGCTGGGTAATTGCTGTGATCTCCGTGTTTCAATAGTCTGCCCGCGGCTGATTGGCCGGGAGCGCGTCAATGTCGCGAGGCTGCCGGCCGTCGGTACCTGTTGCAGCGCTTATGCAACTCTCCTAATTTGTGCCGTTGCATGTCAAAGTAACGAACTCCTCTGACAAGCCCACAGAGGTCCACCAAGCTCCTACCGGCCCGCGACCTCCCAGCTTACAGGAATCGGGGATGAGGGAAGCGCCGCGTCTTGGCAGAGAGTCAGTGACGGACGGATCCAGGCGCTGCAGCTGAAGGAGACTTTCCTGCTACACTTTGGCCGCACTCATCTCCTCACCACCGTCTGATTGCACCCGCGCCAGTGCGGCACACCACGTTCCTTATCCTTCGAACCCGACCTCATTCTTTCACTTTACCCGTTCACTGTCCCGACTGCTTTTTGCTTGCCAACGCCGCCGCCGCCGCCATCGCCGCCACGCCCAAGAGCAGGCTCTCCACAGGCTCGACACCAATCCACGCCGCTTCACGACAACCACTCACCCTCGTTTCGTAGCCTGCAACTCGCACCCGAGAATGTTACCGCGAATCACCAAATCCGAGCTGTCCTATTCTCCGGTCGAATGAGCGCCTGTTCCGCTGACCTACACCACCACATTCTGCACCCGTTGACCACACAATGGGCGACGCTCTTCTACGTGTCGCTACAGGCGTCTCGCCCGTAGCTGATGCTGACAGGAGCCCAGAGCCACACGCTTCCTACACGTCACCCACTACCGAATACACTCCCCCAACGTCGCCGCAACCGCAGATGCCGTACGCGGCGAAGAGGGGATTCGGATTACATCGGTCCAAGCAGCCAGCTCAGCTCCAGATGGACACAGCAGACGCGCCGCCATACGAGCACCCCGTCTACAGCCCATCGCCTGCAGACAGCCCGACCCTCCCGCTTGCGGCACTGCCTTCCCCAAAATTCGCCCAACGCCAGCGAGCTCCTTCCCTCCTTCGCCATGCCGCCGTACCCTCCTCTCTTAATGACATCCAAGCTGGAATGGGACAGGGTCCAATGTCCCCAATAATGGCCCATACAATGGCTCGCCCAGATAGCGGCCCACGTTCGCCTGATCTTCGCGCCATTTTCAACCCTCTGGCCAGCAATCCTGTTAACTCGACTGGGCCGTCATGGGACTCTTCCAATGAGGATTTGCCCGGGTCACCCGCCTCACCTTTCAGACCCCGCGGCATGACTGGCTCTTCGCAGCAGTCCTTCCAACCAACTCCTCCCTTAAGATCAGTAACATCTGTTCCCGACTACGCCCAATATGGAGGCACCGGGCGCGCTAATCTATCTGGCACCTACAAACCCAACAGAGGCGCCCCCAATTGGGCTCACAACGACTATTATCCTACTCCACCTCGACCGTTTCGCGGCGAAGAGCCACGGGCCAGTTTTAGGTCCGGGTGGACCAATGCGTCTTCGAGTATATTAGAAACCAGCGGTACAGAAAGAAGCAGTATTGCCACCGCACGGAGCTCTATCGCCAGTGATCGGCAAAATAGCCTTTACTCGAGAGACCCATCAAGAGACCGTCTTCGGGAACGCGACGGCTCACCAGAAACAATCCAGACTTCCGAAATTGCCGAGGAAGATGAATACGTAGACCCTGTTGGCGACGTGCTGGACTCCTACTATTATGATGAGGAGGATGAAGAGCGCAGTCCTATAATTGAGCAGGGCGAACGAGACTTGCAAAGCCCTTCGCCAGTAGGTCTTGACTCAGAGCCTCCTGAGCTATCGCAGACGCCATCTCGCGATTTCGACTCATTAGATTCCTTCCAGTCCAACGAGAGTCTGAACGGTAAGCTAGGAACCAATGTCGACTCGAAGGAGCTATTGACAATTCGACCACCCTCTGGGTCGGACCTGGATGAGGCATACAACGCGGATCCCGCCGAGCGAAAGGCATTACGTATTGAGTTATTGCCCTCGGTACAAATCAGCCCGTTCCAGGCCGCATATACGCCACGAACAATCCAAGCTGTAGTGCAGCAGTCCAAGAAGAGGCAGTCGGGCGTACCAAAAAGGACAAGTGAAGAAGCGCCCAGGCGTGTATCTGTTACATTGCAAGCTCTGGCGCTCAGGACCACAGAAACCAAGGGACACCACGCGAGGAAATCGAATGGCAGCCGATCACAACTTGATCATATTCGCCGCGATATATCCGGACTTCCACAACTGCCGCCTAGCCGATCTCGACTTTCACGCCAGGATTGGGCTAACATTGAGGCTTACTCCAAGCGACATAGCAAGAGACCAAGCGTTCCACGTACCTTTTCTAATGAATCTCTGGCCAGTTCTCATATCCCTCAATCTCCGCCTATGCAGAGATCTCAGCCGCTCCCCGAGCTGGATGAAGATGAGGCAATTCCCCGTCGCGCTTCTACGAGTGTGTTCGACCGGAAGAGCGCGTTGTTCGATCTTGGCATGATGTCTCAACTTACAACTACCAAGAGCAAGCCTGAGACCCCGAGAACCCCCACGTTAGCACCTCCCAACCAGCACGTCACGACTGTGATAATGCCTGGTCTACGAAAGACGGCTGCGCCTGTGGAGAGAGACCGCTATGGATTCAAGAAAGCTTCTGACAAGATCAACGTTCAGGAGTATAACGCGTGGGCTTCCAGATACGAAGAGCACATCTCCCGCAGGAGAGGCAAATGGATCTCCCTGATGGCTAAGCAAGGTCTGCCGACAAATGAGCCTACCAGGTTCCCTGATATGTGCGAGAAGGTCAAACGATACGCTCGCAAAGGATATCCCCCTGAGTGGAGAGGTGCAATGTGGTGGTTCTATTCTGGTGGTCAGCACATGATTACACAGAAGGAAAATGTCGGTCTGTACAAGTCTCTAGTAGCTCGCGTCAACCAAGACGAGCTCAACAAGGACGACAAAGATGCAATCGAACGCGATCTCGACAGAACGTTCCCCGACAACATTCATTTCCGTCCGGAACCAGCAACTGATCTACTCGACGGTGAGTCTGACGACGAGCCGGCATTGATTCAAGACCTGCGCGAGGTGCTATCTTGCTTTGCTTTGAACAATCCCAACATTGGTTACTGCCAGTCTCTCAACTTTATTGCTGGTCTTCTTCTGTTGTTTCTCAAGCAGGACAAGGAGAAGGTTTTCATCCTTCTTACTATTATCACGCAAAACCATCTCCCGGGTGCCCACGCTCGCAGCCTGGCAAACACAGAAGTCAACGTACTTATGATGTTGATCAAAGATTATCTGCCAAAGGTGTGGGCGTCGATCAACGACACCGATCTCATTAACAGCGGCGCTGGCTCAAACGCTCATCCCAACTCAAAGTTCCAACGACAACCCACAGTCGCCCTCTCTTGTACTTCTTGGTTCATGAGCATCTTCGTCGGTGTCCTGCCAATCGAGACCGTACTTCGCGTCTGGGACGCTTTTCTCTACGAGGGACCACGTGCCCTATACCGCTACGCTCTTGCCATCTTCAAGCTCGGTGAACCCGAAATCAGGAAATACCGTCCTGGTGATGGCGAGATCTTCATGGCTGTGCAGACACTACCAAGGCGCTGCCTTGACCCCAATATCTTGCACGACCTGGCGTTCGTGAAGAAGGGTTTTGGAAATCTGTCGCAGAATGTCATTGACCAAAAACGAATGTTTTGGCGCGATCAGAACATCATAGCACATCAAACTTCTGTCAAGAACACGAACGGTCGAAGACTGCTCGGCGTACCACAAGAGGACGAAGAAGACGGAGACAGGGATAGCCTCCGGAAGGCCATGGGCATGAACGGCCTACGCCGTCGCGCATCCCGCAAGTTCCGCAAGATGGGCATGAAGTGAAGCGAGACTTCTATTGCCCATTCCAAAAATAACCAACTAGACGTTTAGCACGAGTCCAATGTCGTCGACCGTGCTTTTCATACTTACATATACGTTTGCAGCGTTTTCCATCATCTGGCGTTGACTAAAAATGGCGGGGTCATTGGGGTATTTTGAAATGCTTGTTTCTTCTTGTATAATAATCATGATATACCCTTTGTGTGGGCGAGTCGAGACGGAGAGATTGCAGAAAGTAGAAGGATTGAGACAGGCTGCTGTCGTAGCATAGCATGGCATCGGATGGACGTTTTGTTGGGTAACGATTACGATGTTATGACCCTCATCAGTCAATCAATATACCCAGTTCGTTCGTTGTACCATTACTCATCTTCACATCTGCTGTTTGTCAACTTGTCGTGTTTGGAGAAAGACCATGTAGTAACTCGTTGGATTTGATGCTGTTCTATTCCAAACCCGGTTCCGATCCTTGTTCCAGATAACTCCAGTGTATCCCATCCGTAAATGCTCGATCGAATGCCTAAATGTCATCATGCTTTTCCCTCGTTATCCAATGTCTTCTTTCGACATAAACACTTATTGCTTGCTCTCCTGCTCCCTCGACAAACGGTCATGCTCGTCAATGTCGCTACCCGGTTGTTAGTATTTAGATATAAAAGGCTGAGGAGAAAGAGAGAGGGAAAGGAGCAAAACATACGTAGCCTCCCAAGGGTAGTTGATCCAAACATCTCCAACTGTCCTGGCAGCACTATACCTGCCCTTGAGGATCTCCTGAGGCAATTGACCCTTCTTCGCCTTATCCTTGTTGTGCAAGACGAAGATTGAGAAGTTTGTCTTCTCGCCCTCGCGGCCGAGCTTCTTGACTGCGGTCTCGACATCCTTCTCCAGCTCGCGGACGGCGTATTCGAGGGTGGTGCGTGTGTCATCTACCTCGTCGACGATGAGGACGTTTTTGCCGATCAGGTTTGCCATCTCGAGAGAGGAGAGGTCCAGCCATTGGGTTCGTGTTACTTTTGTGCCGGGGGTTTCGACCTCAGAGTCGGGACCCGAGCCGAGTTGTTCGTAAAGGGAGAGACCGATGGCCTGGATGGGGATGTTGGGGCTGTTGGGCTTCTTGAGGAAAGAACTCAAGAGGTTGTTAGTTGAGGGGTTCTTGGTTTCGGAGGCGTTGAAATGGGACTTGGAGGTTACGTACCGGAGGATACGCGCAGGGACGTAACCACCACCGCCAATGGCGATCATAAGGTTAGGCTGGAACTCATTAAGGATTTGGTCTGCTGCCTCTTGGCAGAGCTTGTGGACCTGGGGGGAGGGAGGATGTCAGCTGCATTCTGCGTATTTTGTTTACTGGATATTGTGTAAGGGCTCCAGGCTCGTCATAGTCGCATACGTGGGGACGTAGGTAGAGTCTCTGGAGGTGTTTGCTGCAACAGCCGCGTCGAGGCGATACCAGTTGTCGTGTTGTATACCCGCGGACTGGTTGCGGTACACAAGCATACCACATGCGCGTGTGTGCGCGGGGTGTCTGATCGCATGTGTAACATCTCATCCTGCACGTACCTGGTTGTATGTGACGTAGACCTTCTCGACCATTTTCGCGACAGTGTTCTGAACTACGGCCTTGAAGCGTAAAAAGTGGTATATGAGTTGAATGGCGGAGTAGAATTGTTTTTGCAAAAAAAAAGTCTGTCACGCCGCGGCAGAGTCGAAATGGTTACCTACTTGAGTAGGCAAGGCTAGAGCGGCGTACGCCGAAAATCCAAGGTGGGGTGTCTTGTGCCCCGCAACCTTCTTGTGAGCCAATCAGGTGAGGCGTGGTTCGATAATTCACATGCACGCAATGGGTTGTGAAACCGTTAGTAGCAGCAGGTCTGCAATCATGCATGACTGACTACAAATAGTGTATGTATCAATATCCTCTTGTACCTACCACCTCAAGTTCCCACATATCAAAGAGTGTTCCGCTCTTCGTCGGCCATTGGCCTTCGTTATCATCGCCGAAACAGAGTATATAGAAATGTAACACCGTATTCCTGACAATGTACTTTTCGTTCATCACGATAGGCGAATTTAACTTCTCCCAGACGAGGGCCCTCCTGAAGTCCTTCGTGTCCCAGACGACGGGCACGTAGCGTTTGGTATCACTAGTACCCATTTGAGCAATCATGTCTCGCTGCTCGGCCTCATGATCCCATCGATCACCATAGCAGGTGTCTCGCCACCATGCCAGTGAATCCCACCATGAGCCTTGCTTACCCTGGTATTTCGGACCCTGCCAAACACTTAGGTCATTCTCCTCCTCATTGAACCGTAGCAAGAGCGACATCTCCCCCTGAGCAATGTCATAATAGTGCATGTATATCGCGAAGATAGACTCTTTGTAGTCTACTGGAACAAAGTCGTTTATGGCTGGACGTTCAAATCCTAGGGCGCCATCAAAATCAGGTAGGCGTGCACGATGGGTGCTAATACACTCTCCGCGGTACGTGTAGCGACGAAATTCGAAATCTCGTGGACCCTGACAAGGTGTAGGACTACGTGAAGCTCCAGTAAATATGATGATCGTCTGGGTTTCGGGCTGTACAAGAGGAGCTAGAATGTATGAATCGTGTCTCCTGAGCGCGAGTTAGATTTACAAACCAAAATGGCCGAGACTATTACATAGATGTCGTTTGGTAAGACAGGCACGGTTCAGGCTTAGGATATGCAGAAATTCACCTACTGTGGGTTGAGGAATATGTTCCCCAGCTCGTGCCTGATCTCAAACGACCTGCCACGCTGCGAATCGTACTCCCAGATATACACCGATGCGTGGTAGTCGACACAGGCAACACATGCGACAGTGCGTCCACGACAGCTAACGTTCTTGAGGAAGTTCCTGTTTGGTACTCTGAACTTCTTGCAGCCTTGTTTGCCTCGCAATTCATGCACGTAGCAAACGTTTGCATATGTGGTCAGCACCACGATCTCACTAGATGCGAAGACATTCATGATTTGCTCACGTGCTTCTCCGCCCAAAACGCGGAGATGCCATGTATCAAGGTCCAGCACGCAAGCGGAGCGTGATGGGGTCACATCGCGGTGGAATACGTGATGCCAGATGAGACTACTGCCTACCAGCTTGAAATCGTAGATCGGGTTGCTAGGAAGGAGGGACTCGTCGGAATCGTATTTGGGAATGATTTTGTAGATACGACTCGGCTTGCCAGTGCGAAAAGCATGTATATCGCGAGCTTTCTTTTTACACAGGGCGTATTCAGCATCTTGAAGATTGACAGTACCTTGATACCACTGGTTGAGGCTTGCTTTGAGGACATGTAGACTCCGGAGGGTATCGCGCCATCGTTTTGAGACACTTTGGAGGCGATATGGAGTAGCAGGATCCAAGAGGCAAAATATCTGAGCCACTAGCTCAACTGGCAGACTGCCGATGACGTCGAATTGAAAAGTGCGGCTGCTGGTCGCGGCATGGAGTGCTCTCCACTCATAGGTTGATAGTTCTGCTGTTAGATCCTGGAGCGCCCGGCCTCTCTCGTGTGTCTGAAGGCGTCGAAATGCGTTGATGAAGTCAGTGGCCATGTTGGTTTTGCTGTCGATCAGTGAGCGACGAACAAGCAGAGCTATCGATAGCGATGCGCGAGCCGAGTCGTGCAATCATATGCTTTGCGTGGTACGGGCGAGCAGTAGCTCTGGGGTAGCGCCTAACATTTTCCAAGTGGGCTGGGGAAAGTCGGTCGAGTGCTGACTCGATATAGGTTTGGTGGTTGACGTCCTCTCTGAACGTCTGTGCGGGTAGGCCGGCTAGCCAATCCTGCGGACCCTGGACCCTGGACCCGATAGCAAAAGCAAAGCCGAGGGAGTTTGACAGTGGGCATGGGAGTTTGCCAGAGAGGCAAGTCTGGCGATGGTGCCGTATGCCAATCTGTGCGACTTGACCGCATCCGCATCACGGGAACGCGGTGTAAGGATAGGCATATCAGCCGCATTATACGCTGACCCCCGCAGCAGAAACAGTTCGCGTTATAGTGATATTAGCGGTGGGTTATTATGGTCGAGCGATGTTTCAGTGTCTCGACCTGCAGCTGGCCGACGACAGGGGCGGCGGACGCATGCAAGCGTCGCCATGGCCGCCAGTGTTTGCCGTGAGGGTGAGGTGCATGCCAACTGCCCTACAGCAGTAGCAAATCCGACCGCGGACAGACAGTGACCCGGCGCTGGCGTGTCGGTCGGGCACGAGTAGCATAGATAGATATAGATAGATGGATGACACTTGGCTCCCGCAGCACGCTCCAACCTCATCGATCCCCCGTAATTCCCCTTCGGCAGCGCTACCGTTCCGCCCTCGACTGCTGCCGTGCCAGTTTTGCGACACAGCCCTTCGCACATCGCTGTCGTCTCCTCGTCCCCGCCAAGCCCTCCATCGCCCTCGACGGCGCTGCGCTCAAACACAGCATATGGAATTGTGCCCTGGAGAAGCGTGTCAACCGGCGTAGAAGAACGCTTGGACCCCCTGTGCGAGCTCCTATTCCACAGCTACGGCCGCTCCCGATCCGACAAAGGACCACTCGCACCGTCTGCCATCCCGACCTTTCTGGAACCAAATTTGTACGGTTCGCGCAGGCGCTAGAAGAAATCCCAAAGACTAGGAACCTTCCAAGAAGCGCGCGCCCGCCGATTCAAAGCTTCTGCGGCGACGTCGGCCACACATATCGCATGCTCCTCCGCACCTTCTCCGCCTTACCACGTTCGCTGCCCACCGCAAACCGGGACCCTGCATCCATAGAGCTTTCACATTTTTCGACACGCTCCTCAGGAGAAGCTCTGCATCCAGCGTCCGCGGACCATCTCACCACGGCGCCTGCTCTCCACACTTGACCCCAACGCCATGGCTTCTGTCGCAGAGGCCCGCCGGAGTCCCTTCTCCGCCGATCCACACAATCCCAACCTCCACAAGTCGATACCCATCCTGCCCTCGTCTGGCTCGACGCTTGCGCCGCCTAGAGACCCCATGGACATCACGCCCACCTCGTCCACCATGGGCCCACCCTCTGACCGCAACGGCACAAGCTCCTTCCAATCCCAGTCGCAAAGAGAAGGAAATGGAGACTCGGGCAACACATCGCCCAACGGCAACCAGGCGCCTGCCGTGGGTGCTGCCGCTGCTGCACAGCAGCCCAAGGTCGTCCAGACGGCCTTTATACACAAGCTATACAAGTGGGTGTGCCGCAACAGTACGCAAGCGATGCGACACTAACGCGACACAGCATGCTCGAGGACCAGAGCATCCAGCACCTCATCTCTTGGGCGAGCACCAACGAGAGCTTCGTCATGTCACCCTCGAGCGAGTTCTCAAAAGTGCTGTCGTACGTGCATCTAGAGTCTAGCCGTCTCAACCTCCCCAGCTAACCCACCCCAGCTCGTACTTTAAACATACCAACATCTCCTCTTTTGTCTGCCAATTAAACATGTATGGCTTTCACAAAGGTGCGTGTCCAGGTATTCTGTGCGGTACAGTCTATCACATGCTGACAGCTTACTACAGTGAGCGACGTATTTCACACGGGATCTCCAGACACACCACTATGGGAATTCAAGCATGGCAATGGAAACTTCAAACGTGGAGATCTAGTCGGTCTACGAGAGATTAAGCGACGTGCTTCGAGACACGCCCTCATCCATCGCGACTCCTTCTCCGCACCCAAACTGCCTACTGGACCACCAGCTGCTCAGCCAGTCGAGCCGATGCCGGACCCCGCAGAGTCGCGCCTCCAGAATCTTGAGCATAGTCTCTATGACATGCACGCGCGCATGCAGCGGTCAGAAGACACATGTGCCTACCTCAATCAACGGAGCTCGGTCCTAGCCGAGGGCATGATGAAGTGCCACCAGGTAAGTCGATTGTCTCGACTTGATCTACAGCAGCTAATATACAATTCAGTGGAACCAAGACCTCGCAACTCTGATCATGCAGATGGTGCCGGACCCGGAAAATCCAATTCACAGGGATGGTACGTGTCTATCCTTGAACCTTATCTGCGCGACACACCTACTGACCCGGCTAGTGGCTATGATGCAACGTGAAATTGCTCGACAAACAGACATGCTCCGAGCACTAGAGCCACCAGAAGAGCCACCTCTCTCAGCACGCCAACCTTACTTTATGCAAGTAGACTCCAGCAACGGCCCACCTCTTTCACCTCGGCAAATGCCACAAGACAATCTAATAGACTCACGAAGAGGATCCTTGGCGAGTATCTCGCGGCAAGCTCCATACAAGGCTCCGGTCCCGGCGCATCTTGCAATTTCTCCCCGACGGTACGGATCAATAGGCACGGGTAATTACTCTCCATCTTCAGCCAGAACCCCAGTTTCACATCAGCCACCCCCACCTCCTCCTCCTCCTCCACCAGTCCAGCAACCAGGAGCTGCAACCCTTGGGAGCAACTTGCCAAGCAGTTCATCCCCACCATATAATCTATACAGGCGGCACACCTCGGCAGATATCCGCACCCATGGCTGGCAACCGCAACCACCTAGTGGGCCAGTTCACTCGCCCTATGCTTCTGGTCACAACTCGACACAGTGGCCGTCCTCACCCCACCGCCCACCTATCGGAGGAGGCGACCAGCAGCTCCGTGATGCATTAGAATCATACCAACTACCCCGCGGTCCACGGCAAGCGTCGTCAAGACATGGTACCCCTCCATTGTCGAGTGACAATGTGCCATCGACATTAAGCGCAGACAGTGGGTGGACGTTACCAGGAGCTAGGTACCCTTTTAAAGGTATCGACACGCCTGGACCACCTACTCGACGATCCAGCATGGCATCCAACGTACACTCGCTACTCAATCCTGCCGAAACTGCGGAGCGCACGGATGAAGATGAACCGGACGACGCGCGCAAGCGGAAACGCATGCAGTGATGATCACATACCCCCGCCAAATGACATTCTCCTGCAGCTATATCGACATTGCCCTCTGTTGTAGTTTTACCCTTGATCCGGCGTTCGCTGAGTTTTTATCTGGACATGTCTCTGATATTCAGCTTGATTTCTCTCTCTATTATTGCATACTGCAAGCCTACAAATATCCACTTTCCTATTCAATCTTTAATTCATATCGAAGAAAAGCCACTGCATAAGGGCATGTACACGCATTGGGAGGTAATGACTTTGACCATCACTCGTTGATATTGGACGCTAGGTCATGAACGTTGATACTTCCTCATGTTGGCAGGCCTTCTGACCTCGGTCGCTTTGGTAATTGGAATTTTAGGGTCGGAGAAAGCTTCTTCTAAATCCAATCCGAATATCGGTCATTCGTGTTTACACTATGGTCTTACTTGCCGTGTCTCACAGATATAATATACTCTGACTAACAATTGCATGGTTCTCTTGGAAATTCGTCTTCGATATTGTACATGTAGAGGTTCATTCCCAAGACACAAATGAACGCAATATCAAACGACTAAACAACTCCATTCCAGCTAACTTAATCAGGGCTTTCAGAATCACGAGAAGACATCCGTGTCAAGCGAGCCATATAGAGTAGTCCGAGGCCAGGGAGGCGGTAAGAGCGCTCTCCAGACGCGACGCGTTCTTATCTTAGCGCCATCTCGCAATCCGACCCGCGTGCGACGTCATCAGGATGCTTCTTCACCTTGAGCCTCCCGTCTTGTTTCCTCTCGATTATTATTGACACTCCTCCAACTATCACTATATCATCTTTACCGCTGATATGCCTACCATACTGTAAGTGTCCCTCTACAAGCTGCATGTGAGACGCATACTGAGGTTGTACACCCGAGATTAGCGTTGTAGGAGCTACTCGCGGCCTGGGTGCGAGCATCGTAGAAACATATGCAGCAGACGCAAACAACCACGTTCTGGCTACTGCGAGGTCCTCAGAACCCCCAGACAATAGTGAGTGGAGCCTTGTTCTACTACAATGTTGTGACAAATCAACTGACTTTCCGAAGCAAGCAACATCACTTACATTCCAAACATCGACCTCGAATCCCCACATGCTGGCAGCGACCTCGTCCACTCTCTTGAATCACACAAAATACCCCACCTGGATATCGTCATAATAACAGCAGGCTATTTTGCAACTGAGTCGCTTAAGGAGCCCTCCTTTTCTGCTCAACAGCGCATGTATACAATATGCGCCATCGGTCCGACCACACTCGTAACTGCACTTGCCAACTACAACAGCACACTTCTCGACGACCGGTCTAAGATAGTCTTTGTATCTTCCGAGAGCGGCAGTATTACACTCAGACATGAGTCGGAGGGTGGCGGCAACTATGGCCACCATGCCAGCAAAGCAGCACTCAACATGTGTGCGAAACTATTAAGCTTGGATCTGAAAGACCGTGGCATTGCGATAGTTACCGTACATCCAGGCTTCATGAGGACGGACATGACTCGTAACGTGGGCTTTGATAAGTTCTGGGATGAAGGAGGTGCAGTCACACCGGATGTCGCTGCGCAGTCGCTTGTGGGATGGATTGAACAGTTCGATATTAGTCATACCGGACAGTACTGGGCTCCAAGAGGACCTGCGTAGGTTTGGGTTAGCTCAGGTTGGACACTTTGCTAATCATGATTCCAGGGACATTGGCACTGCCGAGCCTGTGTTGGGACCTAAGGACAAGCTGTCGACTCCTCTTCAGCTGCCATGGTGAGCAATCTGGGCGAGCTGTGGTACTTCATCGCTGTAGTCGACGATTAAGGAACTCATGATAATGTAAGTGTAGTTTTTGGTAGGAATCGAAGCGCCATGCCTAGATTACGACCTAATAGTGATCTCAAAGGACTAGTCGAATGCCTCGCAATAAATGCTCAATCTTCCTTGGAAATCAAAACGCGGTATGCTGTGCGAAAAAAAAAACCAAATTATGAAACCCAATCTCACTTCGTCTCTGTTACCATATTAGGCTCGGTCGGCTCGGTCGCTTGCATGCTCGTACTATCTTTATTGGATGCTTCTGGTACCCATTTTTCCGCATCTCCCAGACGGTCCGTAGTAAGCCCTGCAGAGCCAGGGTTGCGTAGGCCTGCCTCCAATTGTCTTTGGTAGCTAATCTGTCGTAACCTTTGCGCTTCTTTCGGCGTAAGGTGCAAGTAAAGCTCTACACCAAAGGCATGTAGCGCAAGCGACACCCACAACGCCATACCGAAGACGACATTCAGGGCCGCACCAGTGTTTGCTGCATCCCCGACGGCAAAGGTTGCTGCCACGCTTGATACTGCCTCAGGGTCTGTGCCGTTGACGAAGGATGCGCAGGCAGGGTACGAAGTTGCGAGGTCCACATCATCAGAAATGGTTGCTGCAATCTTCGCGCAGCTCCAAACGATATGGTAGTTTTGCGATGCGATGATCTTGGCAGCAACGATCACAATAAATCGACTTGTGATGATCGTGCCAGCGTAAAACCAGCCTCTCAACATCCACGCACGATGTTGCTCGATCTGGAGTCGCTTGACGTTGATGTAGCTGATGATGAAGCAGCCTAGCGAACCGAAACCCAGAACGCCGACAAAGCTCTGTACATCCAGACCACCACCGAATGCATTTCGTGCAATCATCAGCGCGCCAGCGAGGCCCACGAGGTATAAGAGCAGCGCCGCATAACCACCAATGCGGTGTACGATAATCCAGCGCCGGCGGATGAAAGGGGTGAATTGCACCACTGCTAACAGACTAGCGGGCAGTACACCAGCGAGATGCAGTAGGATACCAATCTTGTAACGGCTAAAGTTGAGGTAGTAGTAGCATTCTCCGGGTGCTGCGCCGTTGCCGCCTGGGCTGGCACCATCTGCTGGACAGAAGTTTCTCGAGAAATCGAGATAGGACATACGAGCTAGGGCGACTATAGGTTGTATTAGAGACATGTGAAGGGTTTTAATAACAGGGAACATACAGCCTACGAATGCGCCGCCAAAGATGATATACAGCCAGAAATTGTAGGCTTTTGTGAAACCAAGTGGGTTCATAACGTGTCTGGCAAAAGCGCTGGTTGATGGTGGTGATGCGACCATGGTGATATGAGATGCGTGAGATTCAAGGGTGACTGTTTCTTGGGTTGAGTTTGAGAGACTGGTCTGTTATTGTGTAGATGATGATGATGATGTTTGCTGAGGTATGAGCCATCTTCGAGAGAGATGGTCCCATGTTATAACTTCAATGCTGGAACACATCCTCATACCGCATTGAGGTGATTCTGCGCCAGTACGCACAAGATTTCACGATCAGGCAGTATGTCAGTAGTATGTACCTAGTGCGCGCAATGAACCTGCAAAGAGTTGTCTATGCGACAGAAGCGCCACCTTGGCCGATCAACGAGGCTGTGAATCGATCGTAGTCATGGTCAAATCAGCGCAAGATTAGCTAAATCTAGTCCACAGAATGTGGGCAGCATGCAGCTGCACTTCAAAGCTTCGCCTCGATTGTTCGGCGTTGCAAGCTATCCTAAATCTGGTAGCGAAAGTTGTCGCAGAATCAGCCGAAAGGGGCAAGGCGCGGATAGGATCCATTGGCTCAATGAGCTGACAACACAGGACGCCTTATTGAAGCCACATCCCAAGCTTTCCAAAGTTTCACGGCATCGTCATAGATAGATGCGCGCCAATCATTATCCCTGTACTTCGCCCGATTCCTAGCCTGGCTACACTACGCTTCGTGCCTCACCGTTACGCTAGCAGGCAGACAACGTGTGTCCATAAAGGGACTATTCTGCGCTGAACGACAGCTAGCGTAAGGGATCCTTCGTGGATGCGCTTGTTCTAAACTCCCGAGATGGTGGGCGTTCCAGGACGTTCGAAAGGCTGTGTGACATGCCGGAAGAGAAAGAAGGGTGTAAGTGGGAGCGTCTCTGGAGAATACCTGAGGATGAGAGGCTGATGGATATAGTGCGATTTGGCCCAGCCCGAGTGTGGTCAATGCAAGGAACGCGGCATCACATGCGGAGGCTACGATTCGGATCGCATATTCATCTACCAAACTGGAGGCGGGTCTCCCCGTTCTATACCAAAAGTAGGACGGCATGCGACCGCCTCAAAATCTCCCGAGCAGCCACATCGGCACACCATGCAGATTGTGCATGTAAAGCCTGCGTCTGATCCAGGGACACAGAAACTCCGTCCTGTTCCAGTACCAATCATGTTGCCAGATGGGCTTGCCAGATCTGCTTACAGCGAAAAGACGATTGCGACTTTCCTAAGTATGTACAACCCAGAGGGAATAATTCGCACCACCAACACGGACGCAAAAGAGTTTGTGAGCTTGTTGCCCATGCTCAGTACGCGCGATGAAGCACTACAGATGGCCGCTTTGGCAGTCGGTATAACACAGCTTGGGATAACTTCGAACAACGAAAGTCTTACACGACAGGGAAGAACGTTGTACGGTAAAGCACTGAAGGAAACGGCTGTAGCTCTACAGAACCCTGTTCGAGCGAGTAGCGAGTCACTCCTTGTTGTACCGCGAGTCATGGCCCTATTCGACATGTTGTTTGGTGCGGAACCAAACACGACCAGCCAGGCGAAGAGCTGGCTCAATCATTGTGAGGGCGAGCTAGCTATGATAGTCAGTCGTGGGCCAGAACTATTCGCGGAGAATGACGAAGCACATATGTTGTTCACTAATGCAAGGTATCGACTACTGGGACCTGCTACCCGCGCCAGAAAACCAACGATACTGAATGAGGAAAGATGGAAGACAATACCCTGGAAGGGACGAATCAAGTCATCCGACGATGTTCTCATCGATATCCTCTGCGGCATACCCGAGCTCTTGGAAGCTGTGGACAAGTTGCAGTTCCAATGCATGAGTGAACAAGAGAGAGAGGGGCTACAAGTGTACACGTTAGCAAGATGCTGGACACTGCACTTCGAGCTGGAGGCTTGGGTTAACGACAAAGCGAACGCCATATACACACCTCAGATTGTCAACAACTCAACCTCTATTACCTTCCCCAACATTGATGTTGCCAGCATCACAGTCCGTTATTGGTTGACGGCTCTTTTCCTCTACTCTTGCCTCGACATCGCAAGCGGTATCGATCCTTCCACCGACAACCTACTTTCGCATCCCGATCGCCCGCACCCCCGGCCTTTTGCAAGAATGATTATGAAGTCAGTCGGATACTTTCTTCAAGAGCAATTCGGCATAACAGGTGTCATGGCTATATGGCCGCCTCTTGGCCATGCACTGTTCTACCTGAACAGGAACAGGAAACCTGACGAGGAATACATTATGAGCATAATGCGCATTTGGCATCAACCAAAGTTGCCGAGCACAATGAGGGTATTCTTGAAGAGCTTCAGGGAGACAGTCGATATGAATACTCTGCTGGCGAGGCCTGTGAGTGAGCTTTAGTGTTCAGATTGTCTGCTTCGAGCTCGGATGGAATACACGCGTGCAAGCCACAGCATACTGGGGAGTCATGAGGATTATGAGGAATCCTAGCATGGGCATTAAAAGACATTACATTAACTACACCCCAGGAATGCGTTTATTGCCTGAAAGAACAACACACTAACGCCACCGCTATGCAATACCGACTTCTCGACGTCTCATCGGCCCGCTACTCAATCAAGCTCAATAAGTCCAGGCCCAAACACCGTTCTTTCTGCAACCTCGCCGGCACCATCGAACGTATCCGCACCCATTGTCACAGCCGCGATAGTCAACCCTTCCATGTCAAACTCATCAAACGGAAACGCAGCCTCAAACATGACTCTGTCGTCCATCATCTGCACATTTTCAAGTCCTTTCGCAACCGGCACATTCTGCCCATTGATCCAGACAAGCTTGAGCTGATCAATCTCGAACATTCCCGCATCCTGCATCGAAAACGAAAACTTAATACTCTGCGTCTCAGCCTTTATATCCTTGGTTTCGACAGTCAGAGGCTTGAATGTCTTGAGCGGGATGGTGTCGATATTTGGGCAACTGCCCTTTACAACAAAGTCTTGTATCGCTGTGAAAGCAAAGTCGCGCGCTGCGGTCGTCATAAAGGGCTGTGCGCTTGGTCGCTTCTTTTGCTCAACCCGGAAGAAACCTTCTTGAGAGCCCTCATTTCCTATCACGGACGATACAGCGCGTACAAGACCAAAGTCCTGCGAGCGAGCGAAAAGCTCGTTGACGTCTTGCAAAGTACCAAGAACGAGATCTGTGAACGTTCCTGCTAGAGCAATGGCGCTTGCGTAGTCGGTGACAGGAAAGTTGTATTTGCAGGGTTCGATGGGAACTTGATTGAAGTGCTTCAATGCTTCATTTGCGTTCAGGACGTGCATCTCTTCTTGTGCGACAATGGCTTTTAGGGATTCAATGATGTAGCCCTGTCTGTCTCCAAGATCGTAGCCTGGGGCTTTGTCGGTTACGTTGGCCATAAGCTCGGTAAAGAAGGCCACTTCAAACAGCTCGTTTAGCGCAATGAGCTTGAGATTTATGACTCCATCCGGACTAATTGTAGGGGGTGGGGGGCCGTTGGGTAGGGTACCGTGACCGTCTTTTTGGATCTGAAGGATGGCTTCTTGGTTGGGGTTTGGGAAGCCGTTGGCGAGGGGGAAAGGTGCATAATCGCGTTTGTTGAATGGTGCTGCAAACGTTGTACTTGCCAGTAAACTGGAGACTGATATTACTGAAGATATTATGGAAGAACGCATGATGTGTGATTCTTGGAGGACTGAGGAGAGTCGAATGATTGAAGCAGGGGGAAGGAGATTTATTAGATGAAAGATTGGAAACGCAACAGGAGACAGAAGAATACACTTTCAGGCCCAAGGCATCCGTGTCTTATCATGTATCAAACGTTCTCTTGTTCCGACTTCCGGGTGCTTGTGTCGACGGATGCAGCCCTTCCTTAACCTAACCTACTATTTTCATCTCACATTAGCGCCGCACTGTTAACTCCATCGAAACAGATGGCCAACCAAAGCAACTCAAGTGCCATGTGTGTTCGGAAATACTCGCGTCCGACGCTGCGCGCGCACCAGCACTTGAGTACCATAGCCGCCAAGGCTCCAACAGGATGAGGCTGTGCATGTGAGAAAGGAAACCACTTGAGCCGGGACAGGAATAGATCGTGAGATACCTTGTTTGAAGGCTTATTTTCCAAGCGCTTTAGTGAAGAAAAGCTTGTCTTGCGTTTGGCAAAAGCTTAGTTGATACCTTGTTTGAGACGGTTAGCAGATTACCTTCTGAGCTGTGCAAGGGTCTCGATTGTTGTGGCATCTGGGGGAAACGAGTGGAACAACAGTTCCCAGACCAAACGTTATAAGTGTGAGATCGAATGTCCAAGGTATTGCGAAGGATGTTTGAGTGGCCAACATGGTGTGTTTGGCATGTTTCGACAGATCTGGAGATGGCTTGGCGTGAAACGTGGAAAGAGGCGTATCGCGACGCGGTGCATCTTTGCGGCAGCTTCGTGTTCACACACGAGTCTAGCTGTTGTTGTTGATCTATGCGAGTAGCCATGCAATAAGCCGAACTCTGCCCCGTAGAGATGCTGCGATTGTCTTTGCCGAGTCGCAATGTTTGCCTGTCGTCCCTATCTGCAGCATCGCAGCATCGCAGCATCGTTGGTGTTCCTAGCTTAGGAAGGAGGAGGTTCAGACTGTCAGCTGTAGTTAATCTGGTGCGCTCAGGGGATTGTATGTTGTTATAGTAGTTTGACAGCTGTAGGTGACGGTTTCGTTGACTTTGTCTATGTACAGGCGGTTGATCGGAAATCTGTTAGCCGAGCTAGACCGCGTCGTATGGAGCGATGACCTGCAGTCAAGAAACACCACTATGCACTCTCGGTGATATATGCAAATCGCTAAGGTATCTACAGTCAATGGAAAATCTATCATGGATATCATTTACAGCATGGCAAACATTGTCGCGCACAAAGACAAAGCGGCCATCAGTCCTGCACTGACCCTCAGCCCACTTGCCGCATCCTCTGCACCCTCACCCTTCTGTCCTTCTTCAAATCCATCACCCAAGTATAGAGCACCGAGCTCGGTCAAGCCACCATCATCATCGAACAGTGCTACCCCGTCGCCGGTCCATTCGTTCGCATCGTCTGTTCTGAAAGCACCGAACCACGAGTATCGTTCCACGTAATCCAGTTGGTCGAGATAGGGCAGTGTCTGGTTCATCATGCCCACAGTGTTCTCCTCGTCTTGCTGCGGAAGTGCCATCTCGGTAATCCAAAGTTTCAGCGGTTGATCTCTTGTCGAATTCGTGTTGTAGAATTCATCCAGGGTGCCTAACCAGCCTGCCAAACCATCAAAAGCACCATACCAATGTACGGCCACAAAATCCGTTGGGCATCCGTTTTCAGAATCGATCTCATAACAAGACTCGTTGAAGCGTCGTAACCAGTCAAGACCGTTTGGACTACCCGTAGTACTCGGATGGCTGATCAACCAATTCCTGCCGCCGCTATCACCATTCCGGAAAGGCACGACGAAATCGATGTATGCTTTCGCGGCGTCTCCAGGACTAATGCTGCTACCACCACTTCCTTCGGTGCCGTCCGGCTCGTTAAAGGACAAAAGGTGCTTGCTACTTTGTGGCAAGCCTCCTATGACGCGTTCGGTTTGACTGTCTTCCGTGGCGTCTATGCCATGAATCATAGGGACAAACTCTAGACTGTCCGCCGGAATGAGATCACTATTTGGGTATGGAGACCAATTGTAGTACCATGATATTGGCGAGTTGTCGGAGGTAAGCAGGCGGTTGTCCGGTACATGCGAGTCACCTATGAATGCAAAACCGCGTTTTGATTCTTGCGCCCATGCCGCAGTGACGAAGACGGCGAGAAGAGAGGTATAGGATGACCTTTGCCGCCTGTGGCAAGTAGATTGGTGTAGCCGAGCCATGGTAGTATAGTAAAAACTGAAGAGGCAGTTACACACGTGAAAAGAAGGTCCCTCTTTGTATCGAAGAAACAGATCTATAATTAAAAGACGTTGGATGACGGGTAGATCCTAGTCTATACATGACTTCTTATCTTTTCGACACATTTTGTGGCGAGGTACATGACCATGCCTGGGCTTGCTGGGCTTGCGTCATTGATCGTGGGAAAGTTGGCAAGAGCAAATGAAGCAAGGCAACAAAACACAACTGACTCGGAACAGATAGTATAGGATTTGCAACAACCTTCATAGCAGGGATTAGTGGCATGCAAGATTAGCTGGCCGTTGGGCCTATGCTTTGCTAGCATCGTAAGCTCGAGATGCCAAAGTTCCTCCAGCACGCTAGGTTCGATTGAGGCTAGCCTGCTTTGATCCAATCAGCCCTACAAGTGGAAGGGAATTCTGCGAGATCAGGGTCCATGAGTTGCGATACATGTGGGGATTGCTTTGGACAATGTTGAAAGTATTGTTGGCTTTGGAAAGAGGCTCGCGTATCTTGGAGCTGTACTCTAGACGCACCATAATGGGATTGCTGCATGTTACATCATCGTGGACACAACATAGTTTTAACGAACACCTTCAAAATGCATTTTGGGTACGGCTTCCAAAAGGATCAAGCTTCTTCGTAGCAAGAATTGCATGTGAAAGACCAGAATCAGACTGCTTGAAACAAGCACCATTACAATCAGCAAGCGCCTTGTAATTCAATAGGAGTCAAGCATGCGAGCTATCAGCATCGTGAACACAGTTTTGGAAGTCTCGGCTTTGAACATTTGGGAACCAGGACGTGGCCCTATTTATTTTACGGACCAGACACCGCAGAAATCGAAGTGCCATATCATGCATACATGACGAGTGTGGAAAGACCCTGAATATTCATCGCTCATTGACTCCCAAACCGTGCCCATGCCTTGACCGTTTTCTTCGCCGGAACATCATCTCCTCGTACATCCTCTACTCCTCAGAGGCAGTGATGGCCTTGCGGACGGCGCGGCCACGCTGCCTGGAGTTCAATCGGCGCTCGAGGGTCTGGGGGGACTTCTGGACAACTTCGGCGGCCTCGGTGAGGATGAGCTCAATGTGGGAGGGGTTGCTCATGTACGGGTTGATCTAGACATGTTAGAGGAGACCGCGGCTGTAGACGCTAGTGTACGTACACGACCGTGAGCACGGTAAGTGCGCCTTCGCTGCTTGGGGGCCTGGTTGACCTGGATGTGCTTGATGATCAGGTTGGAGGTGTCGAGACCCTTGGTGTCGGCGTTGGCCTCGGCGTTCTTGAGGAGACCGATGAGGATCTCAGCGGACTTGACGGGCCAGCGGGCCTTGGAGACACCGAAAGCCTTGCCTGCTCAAGTCAGCCCATGTTCCTGCAATTGCCAACATCGGCTCTGTTTCCATGCCCGAAGCTCCTCCCCCAGTGCAATTTTCCATCTGTCCACAGTGCGAATCGGGTGCAGGGCTACTCACCCTGAGCAGTGCGTCCAGTGCTGCCGGCGTACCGCCTCATGGGGATAGCCTCCTTGTGCTCCAAGACATTTCCGAGGTAGGTGAGGGCGCGGTCGAGCTTCCAGCCGTTGACAGCCTGGGCAGTCTCGCGGGTGTTCTTGAAGGATACGCGGAGGTAGCTGCCGCGGGCGCGAGCAGACTTTGCGCCGTCAATGGAGGAGGCACCGTAGCGAACCTGCAACGATTAATCCCATGTTCGGTGCGTGCAGCGTTGGCACTGAGTATCGCGACGGCAGACGTACCATTTTGTCGAGATGTGCTGTTGTTGTTAGTAGACTGGCGACGTGAAGGGAAATCGAAAATCCATTGTGGTTTCCGGGTGCATTCGCTAAGGAAAAGTGGGCCGCTTGTGGCTGCGATACGTGATTGGCCGCGCAGAATATGGCGCTAATTAGAAAAGTTTCAATGGTGAGCTCGAACTTCACCTCGAAGCTCTTCAGCACCCATACCGCGACATACCGTATCCACAGCCACTTCAACGCGCACAGTCAACGCGCATCTAGTGGAACAGATCACGCAGAGGTACGTTTGCCAGTATTCATGGCCCATTACATCGAGGCTAACTCTGCGCAATAGCTTTCGCATCCCATAACCTACTCGAACTATCCCGACAGTTATAAGCAATGGCTTTCACACCTAGGTACGATTTGCGCACGCCTCGAATCTTTATCGCGAAATACATCTTGCGCGAATCACGCCATGTTGAGCGACATGCTATCGGATAGATACTGTGTATCTTGACGTTTGCCTGCTCAACATGCGCGTTTTGCCCTACGGAGAAGCTCTTTTTTCTTCGAGTCGCACTCATGCAGATTGCATCCGGAGTGTATTCGCTATGTCACCATTCAGCGCAAGCATCACATAACATGTAGCGAATGCCTCTGGATTGCTTTCCAGCTAAGGTGCCACTTTGACAATCTCAGTTTCTCCGGACTTTTTCCTGATCATCCATTTGTAGCGCAGCTCTAACTTTAAACAGAGGCGGTCGTGGCGGCGGCGGACGTGGTGGTGGTGGTGACCGTGGAGGTCGCGGTGGCTTCACCCCCCGAGGTGGTCGCGGCGGATTCGGCGGAGGTCGCGGCGGCGGTGACCGTGGCGGCCGTGGAGGTGGCCGTGGTCGTGGTGCCCCCAGAGGCCGTGGAGCCCCCCGAGGAGGTGGCCGTGGTGGAGCCGGAGCCCGTGGAGGAGCCAAGGTCATTGTTGAGCCGTGAGTACAACGTCCCCAGGTTGCGTATTGCACCTACTGACCACTTCTCCAGCCATCGCCACGCAGGTGTTTTCGTCGCTCGCGGAAAGGAAGATCTCCTTGTCACCAAGAACTTGACCCCCGGAGAGTCTGTTTACGGCGAGAAGCGCATCAGCGTTGGTGCTAGCACCGCGCCCAAGGACGGCGAGACCGAAGCCCCATCCAGCACAGAATACCGTGTCTGGAACCCCTTCCGCTCCAAGTTGGCCGCTGGTATCTTGGGTGGTGTCGACAACATCTACATGGGCCCTGGCTCCAAGGTCCTGTACCTCGGTGCCGCTTCAGGAACATCAGTCTCTCACGTTGCCGATATCGTCGGACCCGAGGGAACCGTTTTCGCTGTTGAGTTCTCCCACCGCTCCGGTCGTGATCTCATCAACATGGCCACTCACCGCACAAACGTCATCCCCATTGTTGAGGATGGTATGTCACTTCTCGCTCCTCTCTTCTTGATACTTGCTAACATAATCCACAGCTCGTCACCCTCTGAAGTACCGCATGCTCGTCGGCATGGTCGACTGCATTTTCGCCGACGTTGCCCAGCCCGATCAAGCCCGTATCGTTGGTCTCAACGCCGGACTCTTCCTCAAGGTTGGAGGTGGTATCGTCATCTCCATCAAGGCCAACTGTATCGACTCTACTGCCGCCCCCGAGGCCGTCTTCGCACAGGAAGTCACCAAGCTGCGAGAGATGGGCATCAAGCCCAAGGAGCAGCTTACCCTTGAGCCCTTCGAGCGTGACCACGCCATGGTTGTTGGTGTTTACCAGCGTTCGCAATAGACGGAATGTGAGCCGCAATAGGCTGACGGCGCTTTTCTGATTTCAACGATGCATGCATGTGGTCATATACCTGTACTTTGACGGAACTTGGTGTTCTCAGGCGTCAGGAGGGACTTGGTTGTCATGTTTTGATAAAAGATTTATGGATGCGATTTGAACGTTCACTCAAAGTGCCGAGTGCACCAACATGGTGATGTGTTCTTCATTCCCATGGCTAATCGTCGCTCTTTTTCATGCCATGTCCCCTCCTCCAATATCGTCTGTTTCCTCTTTAGGATTTCGAAGCTACGGTCTATGGTTTTCTTGCCACGTATATAATACAAGGTATTGTATCCTGAGTCAGACTTTCAGAATAATGATTTTGAACTTTACGATCTCTTGCAGCGCCTACCGTGGCGACAAGCGATATGTTGAGGCGTGACGTCAGACCAACGTACTTAAACAAACAACACCTACGCAAAGTTCACCCCGCGAACACGTCTCCAAACCATATCACACCAACCCCACACTCTCAGATTCTCAAAATGGCAGCCCAAGCACCAGCGCTATACAAAAACATCATAATCTCTGGCGGGGCCCGAGGGATTGGTCGAGCATTGACTCGGATGATGCTCGAAGCTGGCCACCACGCCTACATTTTCGACATCGATGAAGAGGAGCTCGAGCATACTACCAAGGTTCATCTCAAACAGTACTACGCCGACGGCAGGCTTGGTTCGGCGATCTGCGACCTTCGCAATGTCGACGACATTCGTGCCAAAGTCAAAGAGGCGGCCAAGTTCTTTAATGATCGTATTGATGTCCTAATCAACAACGGCGGTATCGCAAGTCCACAGTGGAGGGATGGCAAGACTATGGAGGACCTCTCGACCATCGATGAGTGGAAAGCGTACATTGACACCAATCTTACTGGCCCTTTCGCCATGTCTCAAGCTTGCATTCCGTACATGAAGGCACGAGCATCTGATTTCGAACATGGTGCGCATATCCAGAACGCGAACAATTCCAGTCCTGCAGGTCCATGCATCATTCACATTGGCTCCTTCCGTGCACACCAGTCGGATCCAAACCAGGAGGGGTATGCTTCAAGCAAGGCGGGTCAACTTGGGTTGATGCACTCAATGGCAATCAGCCTAGGCAGCCTCGGTATTCGAGTCAATCTCATCGCACCCGGACGCATCAAGGTTGCACATGAGAGCAAAGAAGGTGACGAGAACGGTGCGGACTGGGCAGGTCAGATTAGTGAAAAGGACGTGTCTGATCACCCGACAAACAGAGCTGGAAGGCCGAAGGACATTGCCGACGCTGCACTGTATCTCATCGAGGCAGGTTTCGTTACAGGACAGGATATCACTGTCGACGGAGGAGCACTACGGAAGAAGAATGCCTAAGTGCGTCACAAAGTCAGTATTCGAAGGAATCTATAGATCCAACATGAAAAACAAGGGATGATACGCAGTCGCATAATTGATACGAGATACCCAACGAGAGTAATGTCTTTTTCGAGATGGAGTGATGAATGACATGAACAAAAGTGACGCGGAACCAGTCCGCTCGATCTAGCTCGCACGGGCCTCTGTTCGCCTAAAAATCATTGACGCATCGCGATAGAGTGACGCGCATCGCTACGACTCATTGCGTCCGCTCTTTGTTTCGACAAGCTGTACATAGTTGCTTCTCGTGTTTGTCCTTCTATTCGTCAAGTTGGCTTCTAAACTCAGCGCCACGAAGCGTGCTACGACCATTACGACTAATGTCCGGTTCTTTACATTGCGCCCACGTTGCGTTCGCCTTGTAGCGCATACGAACTACGCTGCTTTTACGCTCCACTCAAGACGTGCCCCTGTACCGGAACGATCCTGCCTTCTCTTCCGGACCTTTGCGACTAGCACTCCGCGCTATTCAGCCCTCGATGCCTTGACGAATCTTGCAATTGCACACCAAGAGAAGACCAAGGCCCATGATCCAGCAAAACCAAGGATTCGCACTCGTTTGATATACTGCGATCGAGAACAGGCCCAAGAGGATCACTACGGAACGAAAGACCACATCCGAGCTCGATTCGTACCAATTTCATGCCAACCTGCGCAGCAACCGACCCCCGAACCACCTGAATTCGAAAGGATACAGACAAAAGCTTCCACGGGTAGCAGACAGGCCACCGGGAACAGGAACATGTCGTGCAGCATCGAAATCGTCACAACCCCTACGGCTGATACGCCAGGCACAACGCTGGTGCTGCGAACGGCGAGCAAGCACTATGTTTTCGGTAATCTGGCAGAGGGTACTCAACGGGCAATGGTACAGCAGGGCACACGTCTGCTAAAGGCCCAGGACTTCTTCTTGACAGGGAGAGCAGAGTGGAAGAATATGGGCGGGTTGATTGGCATGATGCTCACATTGGCTGACTCGAGTACGAGCTCTTATACCACAGCCATGGAATCATTTCGTCAGGCTCAGGAGCGGGGAAAGAAAGGCGAAGCGCCAGCAAAACCGCACTTTGACATATACGGACCGCCGAACCTAAAGCATACACTAGCAACATGCCGGAGATTTATCTTCAGAAAGGGCATACCGATTAATGCTACTGAATATGTAAAGCAGTCGCCTGAGAAGAACGAGGATGGTGTCATAGTCCCGACCTGGGAGGACGCAAGTATCAAAGTGTGGGCCATGTCAGTATCGCCGAGCGGTTTTGAACCTGATAAACAAGCGGAAGCTGAACTGGAAAAGCGGCAAAAGCACTTTGACACACACTTGAACACGTTCGACGAATTTCAAGCTCCTGAGAACGAGAGTCCAGAAGACCGCGAAGCGAGATACGGAAAAATACGGACGGCGACCATAAAGTACATGTTTGACTCAAATTGGAGGATGGACACACTTGTAGAACGACATATCTCCGAGGTAGAAATGCCTGCAGCCATATTCGTGCGTAACCCCAACACACACGGATACGAGTCCTACCAAGGACCAAAGCCGGGCGGCCCAGATCCTCTTCCTGATATCACCGTCTGGACCCGGACGCCATGGCCTGGCGCTACCATTCTGGCCCTTCCACCAACTAGGCCAGCGCCAGAATGTGTATCGTATATTGTGCGGTCGCTTCCATTTCGTGGTCAATTCGATGTCGCACGTGCGAAAGCGCTAGGTGTTAAACCGGGGCCTGATTTCGGAAAGCTGACCAATGGCCAGTCAGTACAGAATGCGAATGGAGAGGCAATAACCCCAGAACAGGTTATCGGAGCTGACAGGCCTGGTCAAGGTGTCGCCATCCTGGACATTCCCTCAGTTGCGTACGTTGAAAGCATCCTGCAGCGAGAAGAACTTAGCTCTCCAGAAGTGATGACTGGCATTGGAGCTATCGTTTGGATGCTGGGTCCAGGCGTCGCGGGCCATCCGACTCTTGTTGAGTTTATGAACAAGATGGACGGTGTGGAACACGTAATATCGTCTCTGGATACTGCGCCAAATCGCATTGCAAATGACTCAGTAGCTGCACAGGCTACGCGTCTTGGACAGATCGACCCAACAAGATATTCTACGCCCGTGTTCGACAACACTTCTCTACCACAAAATAGTCTGTATAGGACTGGTACGTCAGCAGTATCGCTGTTGTCCAAAGGAGCCATCGCCGCTGACCGGGGCATGTCCTTTACACTCATGCCGAAGTTTGTCTTGAAGAAGGACACTGCTTCCAAGCTCTTCGTTCCTAATGAGATACAAAATGAGACCCCACCAGAAGTCCTGGAGTTGGCTAAACAGGCCCAGACAACTGTGCATAGCAACCGCGCAGACATGCTTATGTGGAAACAGCTATTGGCACGTCCTGACACTGAGGTTACGACTCTCGGAACAGGTTCTGCTTTGCCGTCTAAGTACCGTAACGTGTCTGCCACTTTAGTACGGGTTCCTGGTATTGGCAACTATCTTCTCGATTGTGGAGAGAACACACTTGGTCAACTTTCAAGAGTCTTTCCCTATGAAGAACTCATTGATATCATCAAGAACCTGCGGATAATCTGGATCAGTCACCTACACGCTGATCACCATCTGGGTACAGCGGCGGTAATCCGTGCATGGTACCAAGTAGTACACAATGCCGTTCCCAACTCCGAGTCCCTCGATACTTCCGCGAGCAACGTAGACACTAGCGCATACGGTCTTTCTGTAATATCGCACAGTGGGATGCTACAGTGGCTCAGCGAGTACTCTGCAATCGAAGACTTCGGATACAGCCGGATCCTCCCTCTTCAAATCACCGCCAATGAACCACGGAAGAGCTCGACATTATCCATAGTGAACTCGTTCGGAAAAGATGTGTCTGAGAACCCGATCGTGCAAAGAGAGGACTATGAGCGACTGTTTGGGTTCCAAGACATACAAGCGGCTAAGGTAGCACATTGTAACGGAGCCATGGCTGTTTCAATGACTTTCCCGAGCTCGCCATCAGACCCCAAAGACGTAAAGCCACTCAAAGTCAGCTATTCGGGTGACTGCAGACCGAGCTACCACTTCTCCAAAATTGGAACTGACACGACTGTCCTCATTCACGAAGCAACTTTCGATGATGAGCTCCAAGGTGACGCGAAGGCGAAGAAACATTCCACCACGTCCGAGGCTTTGGGTATCGGCGCGCAGATGAATGCTAAGGCTGTGGTGCTCACGCACTTCAGCCAGCGATACCAGAAAATTCCCGTCTTACAGACCGTCACCGACGGTGAGGAAGAGGACCCACTACTCAACCCCAAAGAAGTCGCTGAAGACGTTCCCATGGAAGACGAAGAAGCCGAAGTTGACCCCACTATCGAGAATGCAGACAATATGGACATGCACCCCACTATTCCATCTGCCACAGCACCAGCTCCAGGCCCTGCGAAACCGATCCCTTCGCTTACACATGAAACCTCGTCTTCGCTCCGCGAGAATGCGCGTGTCATCAAAGTACGCAACAAGGACATGAAGGTCGCCATCGCATTTGACTACATGCGCGTCAAGATTGGTGAAATCTGCGAGCTGGAAAAGTTCAACGATGCACTGAATGAGTTACTTGTCAAGGATGAGGACGCGGACGGCGCACTAGAGGGAACTACAAAGGGCGCGAATGGCAACGGGAAGAGAGCGAGTGAGGACGATGGCGAGGGCAAGGAGGGTAAAGGAAAGAAAAAGCAGAAGAAACAGAAAGAGAAGAGCAAGCGGAACAACTGAGTTGCGTTGGAAGTAATATTCATGATTCACGGTATTGATGTAAAATATATCTAGAAATCAAGGCGTCTGATGTGTGTCTAGAACGGCTAGAAGAAATTTTCTCATGATGCCTTCCACGATCTGTGTATAGAGCTTGTCGCAACTGACTCCAATGCAACGCCGACATTAGCAAACTCCGTAATACACCGGGTATCATGCGCAGTATTTCCGAAACAAAAGAGAATGTTGGGCGGTACAAATTATCCGACCATGCAAATCTAAGCAAACAAGACCCTCTCGCCCCAAGACTTTCGGAGAAGGAAAGCGGCGTACCGGATATCTTGTGGACTACCCCCGAGTATAGAGAGCGCGTAGTAGGTACCAGGTTACATGTGCACCTGATCACAGCTGTGTGAGCGTTATGACGACTCCCACCTAGCCGCTTGCTTCAGCCGGTATCTTGTTTGTCCCAGTTACCATCGGTACTCCCGAGGAGCATCTTGAAGATATTGCCAGTGGAGGGCTCTGTATCAACAATGTCTCTAGGCACTTCGTAGTACTGCCTCTGATCGTTGTCGAGAATATCCAGGCGCTGTCTTCCAATCTCATTGTCTCCAAATCGGATGAATTGGATACCAACATGTTCCAATCTACCAGTCTCCCATAGATGGTTGACTAGGTGAGTGATCTGGTCCTGAATCGTGGAAAGACATTCTTGACCCTGCGACCAAACACCGTCCGTGAGGATGTAGATATTGACTGGGGGCTTCTCCTCTACTCGCGAAGACCGAAATGATCTTTTGTCCATCTGGTTTCGATAGTATTTCGGGAGGATTTTGTTGAGTGCTATACCCATATGACACTGACCACCAGGTTTTACCTTCTCGAAGTTCTTCATGAGTCCATTACGGTGTTTTTGACGGTCGTCATGCTCACAACTATTAACAAACCGTAATTCAATACCGTCCGGGCCCATAAGTTTAACGAGATACGCAAGAGCTTCAAAGACCTTCTTGACCTCTCTCCAGTGTTGCTGCATCGATGCGGAATCATCGATCAGAAAGATCTAATGTTGCTCAATCAGCGAGATAGTCAAAAGCCACTGATTGGTATTGAAGTACCTGATCTCTCCCATGTAGCCTTTTCAACCATTCTTGGCCTGGTAGAGGAGGCGTTCTCGAGTCAGCCTTCTTTCTGCGTATGTAACCAAGAACTTCATTAACAGAAGCTACAGGAAGATCTGTCCGGCCGAGAGGTGCGCTAGAGTGTGGGACTGGGCTGTTAATGCCAGATATTCGAGTCAGTTGCGGCCCATGTGCAGCATCATAAGCCGCCAAGTGAGCACTTGGTCTCGATATCTCTTCCTCAGTACTCAAGACGCCGGAATGTGAACGAGCGCGAGGGTTTGTACTGATCGCTGCACGTCTATCTAGAGCACGGTGCATTGGATGCCCTGGCGACTCGTAAGACAGTCGTATGGAAGGCGTGCCGGTAGTCACACCTAATCCCACTGGCCGGTCTGGGGTCAGTTGAACAGGCAAAGGGTATTGGGGATAGGCAGGGCCGGTGAGTAGTGTCTCTAACTCTACAGCTCGTGTAAGGTCTTCGTACACTCTTAGTGCATCGGGTCTCCTTGAAGGGTCTTGGACCATCATCCCATCAACGATATGAACGACGTGGCTAACGATGTTGTCAATGTTGGTCCGGCGCGAATTGCAGACCTCCTTGTGCATGGCCACTACAACATCAAGAACTTTCGTAGTATCATGGAAGCAGCCACTGTAACCTGTTTCCGCAAGGGATGGGATATTGGCGGTTGCTTTTATTCGCCGTTCGTTGTACTCGATCAACCCGCTATAGCCGAATACGGACCATACTGCGGCTTCACTGATCACGCAAGCCAAGGCCCAAATGTCTTTGCTTGGGTGTACTTGCTCGATGCTTTTTTGTCTGAACACGTCCCTCTCACCACGAAAGTATTCAGGCGCACCTTGAGGATGATTTAGAATAAAGCAAATCTGGATCTGGATGACAACATACTATACATCTTCGTGCCGTGTACATCGCGAATTTGCGTCTCATTAGATTCATCCGCTAGGACAAAACCAGCAAGACCAAGATCCTTGAGTTTGTAAGATACATCGAACGGGTTGTTACTGCTCATCTCTGACACAAGAATATTATCCGGTTTGATGTCATTGTGAAGCCTTTAAGACTACGTCAGCATGGGCCAAGATTGAGAATAGTTCAGGAGTTCACACCCACCCTACTCTGAACGAACGCTGGTTGTGCGGATCGGGAAGACGATGTATGCATGATATTGGTTTTATGAGCTGTATGAAGTTTGTCCAGAACTTCAATATCTCGTTCACTGACGTCGGTGGCTCAGTACGTTCAGCAAATTCCGTGAGGGTACCGCCGCTAACATATTCGCGCAATATGTAACAGTTGTCACCCTGTATCCACGAACCGTAGAAGCGCGCTATGTTTTGCATCGCATCTTGGCCACTTGAGTGGCTCAGTAGTGTTCTGTAAGCCTCTACCTCGTTGTTGTGTAACTTTGTATTGTCGGGTGGACACGATTTCAGGATGAAGACGTTGGTAGGAGGATGTGGTTCGTCCTTGTAGCACAACAGTCAGCAGCTTGCTACATGTGCGTGGATTTGCGCGCGCTCAAAAATTGAACCTACTGGAAAAAGGTAGTTAAACTCCTCAAACAACTCGGCCTTGAAGATAGTCGAGTCCGGTCCCGCTTTCAGCACATCCTTTCTTCTGAAAGGTACGATCTCGTCCGCGTGTAGCCTCGTGTCATTCAATCGGTCATACACCAGCCGTTTCGCGCAGAACTTCCACTGCGCCTCGTAAAATTCATCGAATATGACTTTGCAAACTTCCGGCCATTCGCCGCGGCTACGAAAAGGCAGTCTTGCATCTGCCAGCTCATCGTGTTGAACGAATCTCGTTATGTAGGGACCCCGATGTATCGAAAGAAGGACAGAAAACACAACTAGGTATCTGTCTCGGACTGTGCGCTCATAGTTGGACGAAATATTGATGTATAGCAAGAGCTTTCGCACTCTGTCCGTGTTAAGGTAGGTTTGAAGCGCGCGTATTGATACGATGGGTTTGGTGCCTGTTGGTGGAGATTCAGCTATAGCGAACAACTTGCACTTCTCTACGTGCTCGAGGAAGTCGAAAAATACGTTGTCAGTGCTGGGCGCCGTGATCGTCGGCTGGACCTTAGGGGTGCGAGCTCCAGTGGGGATGACAACCCCTTTGGCCCAGTCCGTGATATTGTCAACGATGTGAGTTCGAAAAGTTGATCGTAAGTTAGCCTCGGTAAGACTTGTTCTGCCTTCAACTCGTGTGTGCGTGGAAGATTCAGAAGATTGGGACGGAAGCGAGAGAGAGCTTTTGTCTGTCATATAACTGCATGATTGAGTAGAAGCAATGTCGGTGTTTCCAGAATCGTTCGAAAGCGCAGGTAAAGACCGCAAGGCAAACGTATGCATGCATTGACCAATGTGGTCTAGAAAGGTATCGTTAACCATGTGCAAAACATGCATTTTGCTTCGTTTCGTTGTGTAGTCTGCTTTGTTGACCTGCCGTTTCTCGGTCTTCCAATCGGTTTCGCGTAGTGAACAAATGGGGCATATGTCCAATGCTGGCGAGCTGTATACTTGAGATACCGCGGCAAGATCGTACATGTAATCTTCGTCGATGACCTCAGCATGTGAGTGTTGTATGTGATCATATAGATCGATCTCTTCTGAGAAGTCTCGACAAGACCGACAGAACGGACACCGCCATCCTTGAAACTTACGATGGTCATTGAAAACGTGATCTTTCCATGCTTGCAATTCACCAAACATGGGATTGTCTTGTGGGCATTTGCTTAGATAACAAGTATATGGTTGAATATCATCTGAAAGATGCTTTCTGTGGTCATTCAGTACGTCTTCAATCCTATAATTCGATGCATCGACTGACCTCCATAGCCCCTCCGAGATGTCGCACGTCGAGAGAGTCAAGAGACAATATGGGCAGGATACGGCTTTGGTGTCATGTTTCATATTCGGGGCTGTTGGATAGTCCGACCGACTAGCAATGGCGGTTGGCTGGACGCCCATGCGGGCCCTTACAGCAGCAGTGTCGAGAATTTGTTCTGGCGGAAATTCTGATAGTGGATTGGTATCAGCGGTAGATTTCTCAGATTGGGCGGCTCTAGTTTCCCCTTCTGTTGTTGGATATGTTTTAGACATAGGGTGCTGGATGTTGGAGGCCTGTATCTGTTTAGACTGGATCAACTTGGTCGGGTTATCCAAGTCAGATGATGCGTCTAATCGAACACCTTGTAGGCCTAGTTTTGCTCCTCGTTTCCTAGCATGCATGAATCTATGATGCCGCTTAATGTTTGCGTTCAAGAGGACCTGCTGCTCATCTGGCAATTCGTCGACTATACAATGCTCAAATGCGGCCAATTGGTCTTGAGAAACTGTGATATGCGAGCCTTCACCTTTGCTTGTTGCTGTACGTGGGATCTTTCCTAAGCTAAGCAAGAATCTCAAGTGGTTGACGAGCTCGGAATAAATGCCATCGTCCTTCTGTCGCTCCAGTGCTCGATCAGCTTTCATAAAGCGCGAGGACACACCAGCTTGTCTGATTGCAATGCCAAGGTCTATCAAGACGTCGAGAACTTCTTCAACGCTGGTCTTAGCTTCTTGAAGGCTGATAGATGGTTCGCCGTTTTCACTTTCGTGTCTGTCGCTCGAGGTCGCTTGCAGCAATAGGCCATCTGGTCTGGATGCCTCGGCCGACCGTCTGCGGTCCGTTGGTGAGATCGAAGCCAATTCTATACACTTTTGCAACCATGCTATCAGTGTACTAAGAGTGCCTGTAACTACCTTTTGGGCTGAAACATCATGGTGGAGACGGAGATCAAGTGAGTTCGGATCACCAGCGCTTGCCCCAATTCCAGCATCCCAAAGATTGAAGTCAGCCAGCCGGTTCTCGGCCCAATGCATTTCACTCAATGCTGGAATCTTTGCGCAGGATCGGAGTCTTTGTCCACATATTCGAGTGATTGAACATATCGTTTCAGTATCGTACCCTGCATGCGTTGAACTTGCGGCTGGTGTGATAGCTGTGAGATTCATCGTTGAAGAATTCAAGGTACTTAGGTGGAGTCGTTCCGCACCGAGCGGCTAGATATGGCGATGATATCGTCCTGAACTAGGGAGTTTGGTCTCGCAATGAGAGGCGAAGGAAGTTTTACGACTGTCACCTGATAGAATCGCAGTAGATAAGTAGTCAGTCCTCAGGGCTGAGGCTGCAGTAAGAGGAGCTTTGAGCCTTGCCCCGCTTCCAAGGTCAGGTGCCGCGTCATGTTAGTTGGGCTGGTCAGCACGACATAACTTTGGAACACCTCTTCCTTACATTTGTATAGCTATGTACACGTCAGTATTCCTGAAATCCTAGATAACTCGCTATGGAGGGCGATGACCTTAGCGACTGGGAGCAGGTCGACAGAGCGGGCCTGATTGCTGACCCTACACTCTTCCGCAACGCTCAAACAAGCGAAGCCAATCTGCGATGGGCCAGAGGGACAGTAATTCGTGCGCGAGACCTCATTCTGAGGATGAACCGAAGGGTCAGTGAGTTCTCAACGTGAGAACGATACGAATATTGCCGTTCGTAAGGTAGCAGAAGCTGACAAAGAGCTGGGACGCTTAGACAGAACAGCCCTCCCACGAGAACTCTCCTGCAGGATGTAGGACATCCACAAAGTACAGCACGTCTTCGCCTTCCAAGTTCATACCAGGGGCACTTGTCTCAGTCTTCAACAAGAAAACAGAGTTACGCAAATATTCGCCATCTTTGACCAAATCGCTCTACGAAGTCTTCCACTCGAAGAAATATCTTCCCTGTCATTGTGATACGAGAAAGAAATTATCCGGTCTCTATGAAGATCACCTTTGTGCCTTACGACTTGATGATAAGTGGGAAGTACCCGGAAACGAAACTCACTCGTTTTTTGATTCAGCCATTGCGAGAGCCCGGGACTCTAGTAATAACTGGATTCAAATTCGGCTTGAGCTACCTAGGTACTGTCCGCTCTATGTATCAGCCTGATCGTTTTGCTGATCAAATCCTAAGCGTTGATACACGAGTGACCTTCAGTGATGACACTAGCTTTCCCAGCGAGGAAGCCTCCACGCCAATTCAGTCGAAACAAGATGAAGAGCCCTTGGTAGACATTTGCAGGTTCTTTGAGGATCGTTGGGACTACCCGGACTGTGAGATTCCGATACGGATAGAAGAGAACAAATCTGGCCCAGCTGCCTTCATACGCCGCCCTGTTCCGGCCGAAACATATCTTGAGAAATGTGCTCCTGTCACTTTACTGGAACTCCTAAGAGACAACTGCTTGTCTTCGATGAGTAAGATATCTCTGGCATTTACACTCTCAAAATCGGTCTGGCAATACTACGACTCGGAATTGATGAAGATGAGATGGGACTTGGAAGCGATCAAAATCCTAAGGCAGATCAAAGGCACCGACTTGGGAATAGATCACGAATGTCGTATGCCTTTTCTAGAAATCAACCCTTCGAGAGATGGTGTAATATACTGTGAACAAGAGACTCAGGTGAAAAGAGAGGGTAACAAATTGGGCGAGCTGCACCCATACCCATACATCTTGACCCTTGGTATGCTGCTTGTTCAGGTATGCTTGCGGATCACGCCTACGAGTATCATGGTTCCACCAAAAAGTACTGGAAATAACAGAATTTACATGCATTACTTGAAAGAGATGGATATGGAAGGTACATCCTGGCCAGTGTTGGATCTTCGTGACGAGTACAGAAAGACCTATCGGGAAATAGTCGCACATTGTCTGCCACCTAGACGTAACGGCTGGACAAGTCCGCTGTTCTCATCTGAGCTCGATGCTGTAGAACGGCGCAATCTGCTCATGAAGCACGTCGTTGGCCCTTTGCATGAACTTCTCAATTATGCGAGTGGGATCACTTCGAATGAGGCCAACAATGCCATCAACAGTCATCTGAACCATGGACCAGCTGCTGGTGTGATGGCAAAGCCTCAGAGCTTTCAAAGGTATGCTAGAACACGAAGGTGGCGGTCACTTTGCTAACAATCGTTACAGTGGTAGTGACAGGGCGAGAGAATGGATTGAGTGCCTACAGAGGTCAGATCTCATCAGACATATCAATCGATCTCTCTTGTCCTCAGTACGACGATTCAGAAGGCCTAAGATTGCAATTATTGATACAGGCTATGATCAAGAGTCAAGATGCATGAATCATCAACTAAGGAAACGCCTGGGCCCCAGCTACGCCCCTGGTCATCGAAATTATCACTGGAAAGATTTCTGGGCGGCAGAGGAGTCTCCTTGCGATGATGATGGGCATGGAACATCCATGCTATCAGTGATATCGGCGATTGCTCCTTTCGCTGACATTGTTGTGGCTCGAATAGCCAGAACAAGCCGGGACCTGAAAGAACTCCCGTCGAAGACCAGCGAAAACCTCGCAGAGGTCAGTGTTCAAACAAAGAGAAAGGACTGGTACTGACAATCTCCTATCTAGGCTATACGATGGGCTGTCGATGCACAAGGAGTAGACATAATTTCGATGTCATTAGGTTGGGAGGAGGAGCCACGTTCAAACAGTGGACGCCGTGTCATCAGTAACGCTATAGCTGAGGTACTCCAGAAACAAGATCAAAAGGTACTATTCTTTGCGGCGACCTCGAACGATGGGAGTAGGAGTCGAGATTTTTTCCCCGCCAAACATGAGCATGTATTCTCTATTCGAGCGACTGATGCAGACGGATATCATCGGGGACCCAACGCCGCTTTGCCCGAGAGTGGCAAGGTAGTTTTTGGGACTCTGGGACATGAAGTACCTACCGCAAGTACCGGAAAAACAGCCCAGGCGATAGTGAGAAACGGCGCTTCGCCAGCCACTGCTATAGCGGCTGGCCTAGCTGCGGTAGTTATTGGCCATATGACGATCAACGGGAATTATGAGAGCTGGAATAATGTACGAACTCATGGCGGTTTCGAAAACTTTCTTTACAAAATCACTAAGGCATCTGATGTGGGAAAGCACTTCTTTACACTAGAGGACTTCTATTTTGAAAGTCGTTGGCAGCGTTTGGATGAATATCTGGGATCTGCGTCGCAAGGGTAGGCAATAGCAATTTCCAGTCTGGATGCTCTACTTTGTTGACATGGCCCATTTTCTCTTCGGTGCCAGATAGGTCATGATTACAGAGATGGTTACCTATAGGATTTTGACATTGTAGGCTACATACGTGGGAGGGCGTATGCACGTCTAAGAGCCCGTCGAATCACAGTTGCGCCCACCTACCTGGCTGGATAAGGCCAACGCAGTCTGCTCAGCCCCACCTGACGTGCGTCTTAATGAACATTCAACTTCATCGTTTTCGTAGCCTGCGTCTCAAAGACGACTCGTGTTCGATACTTGCAACTTACCAATAGGTCATTCGATCGACTGCCAACTATACTGTTGAACCGACATGCCAGCCTCCCAAGAAGATAGGAAGTTCTACATACGAGCCCCCAGCCTTGACTACCCCCGCGAGGGGCCCATAAAGATTGGAAATGTCATCACCGACATGTTCCTTCCGCAAGATCCCATCGCAAGATTCAGTCCGATGCCCGCTATTATTGATGGCGCGAGACTGAGCGAAGGCAGCCGGGAGCGTAGTAATAACGGCTCTACCGGCTTGGACATATCAACCAAGCTTTACGCAGCATTCGGAAGCCAGGCGAGAGCCAAGTACAACGAAGATGTCAAAATAGTGTACGACTTCGACGAAGTCGATACGCTGATGTTGGAAAGAAATCCACGGAGCACGGAAATGAATGCACTGCGCAGCGCGGATCCTGAAGTACAGGCTGCACTGAAGAGAGGGCCTGTGTACGTCGTTACCGGCCTGAAGCTAGCAAGGGGCCTGAGGTATTCGACCAAACGATCAACTGAACAAGAATCTGGCCTAGGAGCACAAGCCAAAGTGACCGGGGAGCTTTCCATTACGGCCAATTTGGACAGGAATAGCGGCACAGGTAACACTGAGTCGTACACTGTGCTCGGCGACGTAATTTTGGCCTATCGACTGCATATCGTCAAAAAAGAAGGCTGGAAGTGGAGAGGTGAAGCTGCCTTGGAGACCAAGACGTATTGGCCTGGTAATGCAGGATTTCTAAGCAGAGAAGAAATCAAAGAGGAAGCCGAGGTAGAGGCCAATGCTTTGTCAGTGCAAGATCTGAAGTTCTTTGCTGAAGAAGAAGAATATGGTCATATTGAGAGTATCGATGTTGAAGACCTCGATGAAGCATGGTTGATGGTATTTGTCGAGGACTAGCTTTCCTACCTCACATCCTGATTGAACCATGATTCAATTTCTTTCCAGTTTACTTTGCGCATCGGCCCTCAATGCCACTGGCACAATGTAAGATCTGCGCGTATAAACATAGTCAGATTGACTGGCTGATCATGTTCACTGCGTCTCTCGAGTATCGAAGACGTGATGTTCGGCATGCACTGCAAGGGTGTTGGTTACTACAGCCATGTGTGCGGAGTGTGTCCGCTATGACGGAGCTACCTAGATACCCCGCTAAGAGTCACTGCCCCACCAAAATTTTGATACAGTCTAAAGTCTTTGGCTTGTGAACGACGCACATATTGTCAGCCATTTTGATATCGCCCAAGAAACAAGATCTATCCAGCGTTCTACTCAGCAAGCCGGTCGCGATGTCGAAGCCAAAAGACCTGCGCACACTCGCTGATCTCACCAAAACTACGCAAGCGCTCCTCACGCACTTCCAGTCCTCTCTCGCGCCCAGCAAAGATAACGCTTCAAAGTCCGATGCCTCAGCGACTGAGATAGCAAATCCCCTCGATGTCATCAAAGCGTCGACAACACTCCTAAAATCGCATACGACCACGCTGTCGCTCCTCCTCATAAACCCACCTCTCACCCCCTCGGCCATCATAGCGAAGATTGGTGATGTGAGCTCAGGCCCGCTGAATAGCTTGGTGGCTGCCGCCTCATACGTACCACAAGAAGGTCAGAAGGGTGACATTGGGAACATAATGCGCACGGAAGTCAAGTCGCAGGTGAGGAGGTTACTGGGGACATGGGGGGAGGTTCTTGTCATAATTTTGAAGATGGCAGAGAAGAGGCAAGATATGCAGGGCAAAGATAAAGGGCCGACTGAGAGCGAGAAGCAAGAAGTCTTATCTTCCACTGGTGTGTTATGGGATGCATGCGACGCGCTGATAAAGTTGTGCGCAGACGGTGTTGTCGGACTGGTGGTCAAGAAGGCACAGGAATTACGAGCAGTTCTGCTGGATGCGATCGAAGAGCTGAAAGAATGGGGGGAGGACGTTGAAGATGACGACGATGGAGCAGAAGGCAGCGACGATGAAGACGAGATCTTCGGCGCTTCGAACAAAATTGGCAAGGATGACAAGGAGTTAAAGCAACTTCTCGACACCAGTGTCAAGAAGCTGAAGATGGTAGGTATGCTATACCAAGCACTGGTCAAGAGGAGGTTAAAGACATATCCTGCGTCATCCATACTCGAACCAACTGCAGCCCTGGGCGGCACCACCTCGACACCCTGTAAAAGGCTCGATAAACTTATGAACACCCTCAAGACGATACCCGAGACGGTCGACGACATTGCAGGTGCATTCTATGATCTGGACGAAGATGAGGCGAAACAAACACTTGATAAATGTTGTGGTGAGGCTAAGAGCGCGATTGAGCTAGTCAAACAGAGTTGGAATGGTGAAGATGATGAGTTCACAATATGGTCTGGCAAGTGGATTAGTGCATTGGAAGCTGCCTGAACAGCATACGAAACCAATTGGCATCACAATGCTTTGGCACAAGGTATTTAGGATCCGACAATTCAAACGAACAAGACGGTATATTGCGGTCCAACACCATATAAGCGACCGCTGAATTACAAGATCTTAATTTACCAAGACGCGCCATCTCGATATTTCATTCTCCCTCCCAAAGCCAAAATCTCTCTACAATCCGAAAACAGCGGCCATACCCATGGCGACAACACCGTAGCTGGCAAGCTTGCCGGCGGCAGCGTTCTCGGTCTGCTCAGCGGCCTGGGAACCAGTGGGGGAACCAGAACCGCTCATGGTACGGCTTCCGCTGACCTGGCTGGTGGATGCAGAGCCGGTAGCGGCAGCGGAGCCGGAGGATGCTACGGCGGTAGGAATGTCGGAGAGGGTTACACCAGCGGCACCGCAGAGGGAAGAAACGGCAGGTGCAAGGCCTAAAATACGATTAGATGTGAACATAGGATGGATGCATATAGATGTATCAACGTACTGGAAATTTCATCCTGTTGGCATCGCTCGGGCGCGCAAGTGAGGAGAGAGTTCTCAATGGCGGAACGACCGGTGGTGCACTGGCACTTAGTGTCTGTGACGCCACAGTTGGAGCCAGGGAGAGCGGCTACGAAGCAGGGAATCTATTGACTACTGTGTTAGTCATACGTTTCGATTAAAATGCATCGAAGTCGGCTCAAAACATGTGGAGCTATCGCGTTGCGATTACCAATATCGCATCGGATCAACTATGAATGTGGAGAAGGCAACATACAGCGCACTGCGGGATACCGCTCAGATCCTGGGCACCAACGAAGGCAAGCGAAGCCGCAACGGCAAGAACGGTGGCCTGGAAACGCATCTTGATTATGTGGTATAAGTGGCTGTAGGGACTGCGGCAAAGGTAATATGGAGTATAGGTGAGATGTTCGAAGAGACGGGTGGATGAACAGGGTTGAGCGAGAAACGACGGGGAGAGAGGGACCTATGTACTGGTAAGAAGGGTAACAAATGTCTCAACTTAGTCTGGTCACCAATGCCTAGGCGCAAGCTTACTCCATAGGACAAGACTCGTGGAGATTAACATTGGAGTACCCGATGATCGTCTCAGGGATTGACGCGATCCACCCTTACAGGCTGGGTTGACCATTTCCCCTCCCTTCTTCTCGACGTTCCTTGATCTGCACAATGCATTCATGTTAGCTACACCATTTAGATGCGTGTATTTTGTCGAGTTACGAGGGCCGGAATGCGACCATGAGCCTCGCATAGGTGCGTGATATGCCTCGGATGAAGGGTTAGGTCGCAGTTAGAGTTTGGGATGGCGCCGAGCTTGCGGTCCTTTAGCGTTGGTCAGGCGGCGTGGTGGCACAGCAGTGGAGAAGGGTGGAGGGATCGCGTCCTTGCTTTTATCTGCGTCAACGCGACGGTGCGATTCTTACTCGCCGGACCAATCATCTTCCTTGCGGAGTTGTATCAATTATGTTTTGGCAGGCATGCTGCTGAGGCTCCGCACTTCGTTGTAGTAAATGTGAAGGGATATTGTACCCGATGAAGGCACGCTGCGTCTCTGATAATTGTCTATTTCTCACGTATCCTGCCTGTCCTTGTTTGCTTTTGCTGCATGACGACTGCTTCGGGCAACCTGCGTTCGCTGGTGCGGCACCAGATGCCGACCCTGCGTTAGGAAGAAGTATGTCGTCTTGGCATGCGGATGGGGAAGGTACCGTCGACGGTTCGAACGGGTTAGTGGCGTAGCGCACCGCTATAGAGTGGGCTGCACATGCACAATATTCATCGGAAACAGCTTATCCATTAGTAGTGGCACTTTGCGCTCTGGCGAAATCGCGTTCAAGCCACAAAGGATGAAGAGAAGAGATCTTTTTGCGCAAGATTGGGATCCACTGTCTAGCAAAAAAATGCCGATGGGTAAATAGTGAGTCCTAGTCAAAATCGGCAGGAGACAGCCACGCGCGAAGGATCCAAAGATGCAGGTACGCGATAAGCGGCATGCAGGCTTAGATCACGATCCCTACCCATATCCCTTTTCTCATCACATCGATCCTAATCTCTTCGTCGTGGTTGCAGAATCTAAATTCCCGTCTCCTTTCCTGCAAGTTTCTTCACGATATCGATAGAGCCACTCTACCTCGTCTCGAGCCTATCGTTCGTGAGTCGCTTTCTCGAGCGACGATCCAACGTTCTCGATTTTGCGCACGTCCCCTAGTGCGGCACCTGAAACACAAAGCCTGTGACTTGCTCGTCCTTGCAGATCAGCAGTATCATGTCTCATATTGCTTCTGCGTGGCGACGGAATCATGCTTTCAGCTTTTCCAAATGGAATGGTGTCTGCGCCGTTGGTAATGCGTGATGACGGCAGCGATGAAACCGGGAAGGCGGCACGGTAAATGGATCAGACCAAACACTGAACGCGGGGGTTTTAGCATCATTGTGACCGTTGAATGCTTTCCCACAGCCTGCGCAGGGTTGAGACAAAGTGGGCGATGATGCAATTTGTCCCAGTCGTTCTGGTCAATAGACTTGAGATTAGAAAAGTTCGGCTCATGAGACAGATGTTGTGCGGTGTAATAGTTGCATTCAACACCATATTGGCTGACGCAAGGCCGGCAGCAGATGCTGTACCGGAAACCTAGCGAGCCCGTGAAAGGGCTGTAGTGACTAGCAGTACATTTCGACTCCGATAAACATGCAATCCTCCCGAACTCGACTCTACTGAATGTACTCAAACTTGTTTCAATGCGATTGCCAACCTCCAAGAACACCGTGTCCAGCCCGGTGAGGGTTGTAATCTAGCCAGAACCCTATCGTTGATCGTTAAAAGAGATCTTTGCAAAGAGAAGTCGCAGGACGGAAGGTATATTGCTGAGCCGAAAGCCAAAAAGTGAAAAGAGATTAAGGAAAGAAAAAGGCCGTGGTCGCAGACACGGCGAACCTATGGACTGAAGGCAAACAGACAGAGAAAAGATTTTGCAAATGTGCCAAAAAATCGAAAGTGGTTCGCTTTTAATCGCAAATATTGAGATGACGACAGAATTGTCAGATGTCAAACTCATGAAGTGCCCATCTAGAACATGCCCCCTTCCATGGACTGTTGGCTAACAGCAGGGCCGTTTGTAGGGCGTGGAGGCGAGTTGTTGCGCATAGTGAACCCGTTCTGAGGCATAGCTGGAGATGGTCCAAACTGGCTCTGGGCGTTTCCACGTAGACTTCTGCCCTCGCTTGACGCCTTACGCAACTTGCCTTTTGGTTGCTGAGATTGGTTCATCAGTCCGTCAGACGAGTTTGTGCGGAGGGGCTCGCCATAAGGGGCTCGCGGTGCCTCCATACCAGGCTGTACGGCAGGATCGTAAGGTGATGGCCCTGTTGGGCTTTGATTCTCACCGCGACCGAATCCAAAACGTCTTCTCATAGGGTTGATTGGCGGAACGGGTGGTGCGTCATTCTCCATACCATTCTTCAGAGAAGCACCAGCTGGAAGGTTGATCGTGTCAATGGAAGATGTTGTAGAGAGAAACACAGGCTCTGAAATCTCAGACTTCGCGATTGACTTCTTCCGTAGCACTCCAGTCTTAGTCAACGGCTGCACAGTACTTGGGTTGAAAGCAGTTGTGCTGGGAGTGGTGGGGTTCGAGACGGGAGGAGTATGGTTGGCGGAGAACGGAGGTACTGGAGAGGTTGGGTGCGAGAAAGCGTTGGCGCTGCCATTGTTGAAGCCACCTGGGGACGGTCGTGGAGAAATTGGTATTCCCGGAGAGAACTTGCCTTGTGGAGGAGGGAGGCGAGAGTTCTGACTCGATCCAGTGTTGGTTTGGATGGGGTGAAGATGTTTCGATTCGAAGTAATTTGCTGCAGCAGTTTTACTGTTGCTACGCGATCGCATACGACCCTGAGAATCCAGTGACGGCCTTTCAGCAGGAAGTGGGGGTGTGGGATGAGCGACGTAACCAGGAAGTGATGGCATTGTATTAGGAGGATACGCGCCACGGGATCCCTCCGTCATCGCCTGATCCAGATCGTCACGGTATTGATCAGGGCGAGGGCGGCTTCGAGAGCGGCCTGATGATGTTCCTGAGCTTGAGCGCTCCCGTGTTGAACTTCTGGTCGATGCTTGTGGAGACCTGCCTGTTGGGCGACCAGTCCGGCTGCTTTCTGTTGCTGATCGCTGTCGATGTTCCAACTCTCGTTGTGCGTCCTGCTCACTTTGCTGCAGTACTCGAGACTGCTTTGGTCGCAGTGGAGGCACGTCACCTTGAAGGCCAACGAGCGAGGTGCTGCTGACATTCGCTGAAGTTCCCCCAAGAGCAAGCTTCCTCACCGATTTGTTTGAAACATCGACTGTGGCGAATGACTCTCGGCTGGACTTTGCACGGAGCATGTTCAAAGCAGTCTTCAATCCGCCAGAGGGTCCGCCAGGTGCTGGGCTTGTTGACCGACCTTCCGCCCTCGCACGAAGGTTTTCCTGTATCAAGCGCTGCCTCTGGGCGAGATCCCGTTGGAAAGCCTCGTGGTCAGCTTCCGTCTCATTGCTGGCAATTCGTTCGTGGGTCCTTCGCGGAGTAAGGTCCCAAGGAGCTGCAGGATTTGGTTCGGTAGCGCTCATGACAAGAGGTGTCGCATCCCGTCCGCTGATCGAATCCTCTGAGTTCATCTTGCCACTCTCGTCGCGGTACGGGTTGTCAATGTCATCCAGGTCCCATGGGTTGGAATGGCTGTAGGTCGATGGTGCGGGTGTGACTGATTCGGATCCTGGCTGGCGGCGTTGGAGGCCAAACTCTTGCGATTGGATGGCAAGTCCCATCGGTGGGCTCATCATTGGTGGGCCTGGTTCACCGTAGTTTGAAGACACATTGCTCATGTTACGGAGGTGCTGCCGTATCATCCCACTGAGTCCGCCGTTGTCAGGACCTAATGTTGGTGAGTCAACCTCCGTATCGTCCACCTTGACCGTCTCATCAGGACGAGGAGACGCTTCCTGGGTC